AACTTGAATGCATGTAATGAATAATTGTAATGTCTAGCTAGACAATGAAGGTTATATGAAAATCCTTGAAATAATCGAGGTGTCTGAAGCATATAAGAGTTTGAAAGAAACTTTTTCAATAAAGCTTCAAGAATCCTTATATGGATTGATATAGTCAAGAAAGAAAAAGGGTACAAAAGAATGACCCTAATAGTCCTTGTATTTTTATGAGAAGGTTTTGGTAAGACAAAATTTTGTCTTGACCTACAGATTGATAATTTGACAAATGAAATATTTGTCTAACAGTGCACGTACAGTGAAAAGTTTTGATGCAATTTTATATGGATAAATCACATTCATTGAGTACCCCAATGATTATGAGATCACTTGACATAAATGATGATTCGGTTTGATCTCAAAAGAAGGATGAAGAGTTTCTTGGTGATTAAACTCTATCTTGGTGCAATCAGGGGGGCACTAGTGCATCTTACTAACAATATTTGACCAGATATTTGTTTTGCAGTAAATTTACTGGCAAGATTCAGTTTCTCCCCGATAAAAAGACATTGAAATGGTGTTGAGCACATGATTGAATTTCCTCGAAGGACCATACTTATGGGTTTATTCTATTTCGAGGAATCCAAGAAAAAATTGATAGGTTACGCAAATGCAGAATATTTATCTGATCCGCATAAAGTTCTATCTCAAGCACGCTATGTGTTTGCATGTGGAGGCACAATAATATCCTGACGATCAATGAAACAAATGTTGTCATGCAGAAATAAAAGTCCTCCATGAAGCAAGTCAAAAGTGCGTCTGGTTGAGATAAATGACACACCATATTCAGAAAATGTGTGGTTTTTCTTTGAAAAAGAATATACCAACCACAATGTACGAAGATTGGAGACATCATCACCCAGAAATTAAGTGATGTTTTAATCAGGGGGAGTACAATACGCGTTGCACTCTTTTCCCCTTGATCGAGGTTTTTTCCCACTGGGTTTTCCTGGCAAGGTTTTTAATGAGGCAACAAATGGTGCGTATCAAAAAATATGTGTACTCTTTTTCCTTCACTAGAATTTTTTCCCACAGGGTTTTTCCTAGTAAGGTTTTAACGAGGCACATTATCTATGGACATCCAAGGGGGAGTGTTATAAATCCATTGAATAGTGGATGACCATTTGGTTTATTCATGAACTACTAAATTCATGTATGTGTATTCCCTAGATGATATGAATCCCCTTTTTGGATAACAATGTAGATAACTATGTATCTACTAGTTAAATGACTTTTGGGAGTGATATCTCAACACTATAAATAGAGATATCACTCACTATTTGATTGACACTTGAATAAGAAGAAAGTCTTATCTTCCATCTTACTTCTCTTGTATTCATCTATTTATATTTATATTGTCATGAGCTTAATTTTATAACATTTTTCTCATTTTTTTAATTTTTCTTCATATCTCTTCTAATAATTGAATAACAAAAAGAAACAAACATGGTAAATATATTAGTGGCGGTTCACTTTTAATACCCATTAATATAGTACATAAATCTTAGAAATTAAAAGGGAAATAAATAGTTGTCAATAATCTATATGAGAGAATGTCAACAATTTTCTCTAATATTTAAAATAGGATAGATAATCACAAATAATTTAAAAATATACGGTAAAAAAGTTATTCACCACCATATATTAATGTGTTAATTACGGAGTAGTAGAAAATTCATGATTTGATTATCTCCTTTCTCGATATTTCATTTCTTTTATGATTGTCTTTCAAGCATCTTCTTTGTTTTAATCATTTTTCTTTCTTCCTTTACTTTTTAACTTTACAGGAACATCAAACAAGTTTCATTATACAAGCACGTATTGGAGAGAGAAAAATTCAACAACATACCAAATAAATGAAAGAAAAATCATGATGGATCATTGACGGTAAACATTAGATATCTGAAAATTGAAATTAAGTTTATGCAAGAATTAAATTCAAATACAAATACTGTTGTTTGCTTGCTATTTTCCTTTCTTGTTTGCTGTATTTCAGGATTTTAACTTCATACGCATACAGCGACATCATATTACCTTGTCTATGGTGAGAAATAGAATAATGACAAATTATTAATAGTAGTGATAATTGAGGAACTAATTCTTATATTTTCTTAATTAATTATTACAAGCATTAGTTACATAGAAATAGGGAGACTTAATGTTGAATTTAGAAATGCACTTCAGCATATAAATAATTAAACGACTTCAAGTATATAATGTTCTTTTTAGTTTTCTACAAACAGTTAACATAATAAATCCACAAGAACATCATAATTCTGCCTAATGAATTATGTATGTACAACTATAGTCATATAAATAAATTTCTTCATCAAATTCTCTTTCTCCGTTATCTTGTTCTAAAATTCACAATTTTCTCTACTTATGATGTCTTCTTCCACTTTCTTCTTCATCCCTATAAGCACACATTAGGAATATACTTATAAGAAATTGTTAGTTATTCCATCAATTTATTTAATTTAGTTTCAAAGGTTAGACAAATTGACTAAAAATTAAAAAAATAAATAATATAAAGTCAAAAACATATAATCTAAAAACATAACAGAAACATTCTTAGTCATAAATTCTTTATGATTTTGCTGAAAGCAACCATATGATGTGATGATTAACATTTTCTTCCTCATCCTAATGTATAATATGGTGATGGAGAAAAGAAAGAATAACTTTGAATGACAATTTTCTTGATACAAAATATGAATTTATATAGACAAAGAGAAGGAATACCATAAGACATAAACTTACAAATTAAATTTTGGGGGTTATAACGATTAAAAAAAAAGAGTTATCAATATTATTAAGTTGAAGATGAGTGAGTTATTAGTAATTGCTTCTTATTTGATTAAAGAAATTAACTATATATTATATTGGTATTGATGGGTGAAAAGTTGAGAAATTAAATATAAAGACTATTTAAGATATTAAAAATAAAATAAATAAATAAAAGGGAAAATGTCTTTAAAAAATAAAATAAAAAAATATAAAAGGAACCACATCACCTTCTCCATATAGGCTCCTTTCCATTACTTATTCTCTCCGTTTCCCCAAGTACCCACTTATATAGAAGTTATGTGTCATAAATAAAAATTAAAGGTGGATATTTATTTATTATTTTAAATCTCCACGTTGTTCCAAATCAATCACTGTGGAAAAGTCTTTATTTTTTTACTTGACAAAAATTGTGGTTAACAAATTCCACAACACGGCTGGAAAAAGAAGTACAAATAATAATATTCGACTTGTTAATTTAATTCTAGTTTATTCAAACATTCAAAGCAAGTACAAACACTACAGGTAGTACAAGCGACTAAAGAAACATGTTAACTTGTAGCTCAGAAAAGAACATCATCGCAAGAGGATGCTAACTTCTATGCTAAACCCTCGTGGCCCATGTGTTCTTGATTTTGTTAAGCCTCTTGACTACATCTTTCATAGTTATTCTTGATTCTGGCTTTTCTGTTGTGCAGTCTAAAGCCAATTTTATCATGGAGGCTATGCACATTTCACTTTTACAAGTGATTTGTTCTTCCTCAGAGAAAATATTGGCATCCACAACGTCCATCATATTCCCTGAAAATGATTGTGTGATCCATTTCCTCATGTCAAGATTTTCATTGCATATCTCTTCATCCATTGGCCTTCTTTTTGTCAAAACCTCCATCAACATGATGCCGTAACTGTAAATATCACCACTAGCAGACACTATTCTTTCTAAGCCATATTCTTAAAAGAATAAAAATGAAAAATAATTACTTATTTGAATATAAACAATAATTATGTATTAACAAGACATGACTTGCTTTTAGTTAGTTCTAGAATTCGGAAGGGCTAAACTGTGATTTCAGAAAATAGAAAGACACTCGTTTACCTGGTGCGATATACCCAAGAGTGCCCAATGACTTTATATGTGCCATGGACTTGCTTACAACTAAAATCTTTGAGATTCCAAAATCACCAACATGAGTAACCATATCTTCATCCAAAAGAACGTTGGCTGGCTTTAGGTCGCAATGAACTATCGGAGTGTTATGACCATGGTGTAGATATTCGACTTCCACAGCCACATCAAGCATTATAGTGACTCTTTGGAGTAGGTTAAAGTGGGACTCTTCTCTGTACAACCAATTCTCAAGGCTCCCGTTGGACATATATTTCAGAGCGAACGCTCTTATACAGTCACTAGAACAAGTAGTAATCACAGGAACAAGATTTCTGTGTCTAACATTTCTCATCACTTCACATTCGGTATTCAAACCCCTTGCATACTTGCTCATTTTCCAAATCCAGAACCTTTATTGCCACCACAGTTCCACTCGATAATATGCCTTTGTACACAGAGCCAGAGCTTCCCTCTCCAATTAAATATGACCTCTCAAATTTATTTGTTGCTCGTTGAATTTCGTGATAAGAAACTAATTGATGAGCCTTGATCTCTGATGAGAATATAGCATCAATAACATTAGCTTTCTGTTAGTTCTGTTAGTAAGAAATCAAGTAGTTAGTTGATAGTTAGTTACAAGTTTCAAGTTGTTAGTTTTCAATAGTTAGTTAGAAGTTAGTTGGGTTGTTAATCAAGGTCTATATATAGGTTCACATTGTATTCATTTTTAACTAATTTCACAATCAATACAATATACATTTTTCTCCTCACAATCTGCTCTCAAGTTCAAGCTCTCAAGCTCAAGTTGAAGATCATCAATGGTGATGAATCCATGGTGATAATCTCTTCATGGTATCAGAGCGAGGGAGTCTAATTGTTCATATTTCGAAGTCGAATTGTGAGCCATTTTTTCTGTTGTTATCAACTGATTCGATTAATTGATTGTGTTGTGAATTCTTTTTGGTTTCTTCTTCTTCTTTCTTTCTGATCGAGGAGACACATTCATAGCTGGAAATTAGCAAGTTCTGGATTGTTTTCGTGTTAGATTTCTCACAGATATTCAAACACAATGACTGGCACTCAAGCTGGAGATGTTGCTTCTAGTTCAACCACATCTCGTTTGGATTTTTCAAGTCTTTTTTATCTGCATCCTTCAGAGAATGCGGGATCATCATTGTTACCTGGAGTTTTTGGTGGTACTAGTTACAGATCTTGGCGAAGAGCAGTCCTCAGAGCATTATTAGTTAAAAGCAAAACAGATTTTATTAATGGAGCAATTGTGAAGCCTATATCTACTGATCCTAACTTCATGCAGTGGGAAAGATGTGATGATATGGTCACATCTTGGATCTTGAATTCCTTGTCTCCAGAGTTGCGTGACAGCCTGCAATATGTGAATAATGCCAAGGAGTTATGGGCAGAATTAGAGGAAAGATATGATCAAACAAATGGATGTAAATTGTATCAGTTACAGAAGGAGATAAATGAGCTTGTCCAAGGTACTTTAGACATCACTAAGTACTACACAACAATGAAAAAGTTGCGGGAGGAGATGAACACAGTTGACATTAATTCTCAGTGCACATGTGTGTGTTCTTGTGGAGGAATGACAAAGTTGCAAAAGGCTGAGCAAGACAGAAGATTGATACATTTTTAATGAGGTTAAATGAAATGTATACTACTGTTAGAGGTAGTATTCTCATGATGAACACGCTTCCTAGCATGGCTCAAGCTTTTGCTATTCTGTTCCAAGAGGAAAAGCAAAGAGAAGTAAAGCCTCATAATCATACAGCCTTGGATTCTACTTCTCTCAATGCTTATGGACAATACAATAATAATGCAGGTTACAAGGGATTCAGAACAAATTACAGTTCATCTAAAGGGGCTGGATCTAGTTCTGGTAACAATATGTCCAGAGGAAATTCAAGTATCAACAGGTCCACCTTAGTATGTGATTATTGCAAGAAGTCAGGACACACGAGAGATAGATGTTATAAACTTCATGGATATCCATCCAATCCAAAGTTTCAAAAGGGAAAAGGAACAAGTTCTGCAGCAAACATGTGTGCTTCTGATATGAATGCACAACAATCTGAGGAAGAGACTCGAATGGGAGATCAGATGCCAATAAATCTGTCCAAAGATCAGTATGAAAAATTACTCAACATCTTGGGTAGTATACAAACTGGAAATGGATTTTCTAATTCTGATAATTCAAACAGCATGATGAATGGGGCTGTGAACTTGGCAGGTATACTTGCTTGTTACTCCTCTATAAATGATATAGGTGATCTTTCTTGTGAATGTGTTAAGCTGACTGCTGGCTCTTGGATAATAGATTCAGGAGCATCACATCATATGACTTATGATAGAACCACTCTCACAAATATTAGAACTCTTCCATACCCTTTATTAATATCACTTCCAAATGGTTAGAAGGTTAAAGTGACTCAAGTTGGTGATGCTTGTTTAAATCCAGTGTTAACTCTAAGCAAAGTGTTGTTTGTACCTAGCTTTAAGTTTAATCTCATTTCTGTTCATTGTTTAGCACTACAACTTAATGGAGTCATAAGTTTTGATAAATTTTCTTGCTTATTGCAGGGCCCTTCTCTGAAGAGCCCTCTGGAGCTTGGTAAGGCCAAGAATGGTCTATATTTCTTGTGTCAAAAATGTCACAATTGCTGCAAGTCTGCTGAAGAAAAGTCATCTCATTCTAATTGTCATCTTGTCTCAAAGTTTCACAATGTACCTTCTGTAAGACAATCTCAAATTTCTACTACAAATAAAGCAGATTGTAAGACTATGTCTTCTTCTCATTCTAATGATAAATGTCTTTCATTTGCTGATGTCTCTAGTCACACATACAATGATGATGAACTTCTATGGCATGCTAGATTAGGAAATGTACCCTTTGTAAAGATAAGGAATATAACATCCATACCTGTAAACTTTTCTCCTAAACAACCTTTTACATGCAATATATGCCGCAAACTAGGATGCCATTTCAAGAAAGTACATCCATAACTACCAAAAATTTTGAATTACTACATGTTGACTTATGGGGACCATATCACATTCCTACTCATGATGGTTACCATTATTTTCTTACTATGGTTGATGACTACAGTAGGTCTACTTGGACACAATTACTAAGGTGCAAAAGTAATGCCCTTCAAACCATCAAAGCCTTTGTGTGTCTCATAGAAAACCAGTTTCAAACCAAGTTGAAGGCCATAAGATCAGACACTGGTTTAGAGTTTACCTCATCTGAAGCTGTGCATTTCTTTCAGACCAAAGGCATTATACACCAAAAGACCTGTCCATATACACCTCAACAAAATGGGGTGGTAGAAAGGAAACATAAGTACTTACTTGAAACAGCAAGAACACTGTTGTTTCAATCAAAGTTGCCCTTGAGATACTGGGGAGAGTGTGTATTGACTACCACATATATAATAAATAGATTGCCAACTAAACTTCTCCAAAATAAATCTCCATATGAGATATTATACCTTAAACACCCTACCTATTCTCATTTAAAGAGTTTTGGTTGCCTTTGTTTTCCAACTGTTTTGAAAACTCACAAGGATAAATTTGAACCAAGAACCATTCCTCATGTTTTTGTTGGTTATCCATTCAATACAAAAGGATACAAAGTCTTAAATCTAGCAACAAAGAAAGTTCATATATCCAGAGATGTTGTTTTTCATGAAAGAATGTTTCCTTTTGTTCATGTTCCTGATGATGACTCTAGTTTCAGTTCTGTTTTAAAAATGCTTACTCATTCTGTTGACATGTCTTGTATGCCTGGAAAAACAAACACATTTGCTACTGATGAGATGCTGGACAATCTTACACCACATGAAGTCACTAAAAATCAAGTAACCAATATTACTAACATGCATGAAACAACATCTGCTGATTCTACAACAAAAGAACCACAAGAACCTAGAAGAACTTCCAGAACAATAAACACTCCTAGTTATCTGAAGGATTATACCTATACCCTACCTAAATTACATTCCCTCAATACTTTTGTCTCTCACAATAACCATGTATGCTTCAATTGTCTCTGTTCTGATAGCCAGCAGCTAGTCACAGCTATTTCACATGAATGTGAACCTAATACATTTGAAGAGGCAATATTGCACCCTGCTTGGCAGCAAGCCATGACACATGAATTTGAAGCCTTACATGCTAATGATACTTGGGAAATGGTCATGTTACCTAATGAAAAAAAGGCCATTGGTTGTAAATGGGTATACAAAATAAAGCACAAGGCTGATGGAAGTATAGAAAGGTTCAAGGCAAGGCTGGTAGTAAAAGGCTATACACAACAAGCTGGAGTAGATTACAATGACACATTTTCACCTGTGGTGAAGATGACTACTGTTAGAACACTGATCTCATTGGCTGTTAAGAAAGGTTGGAACTTGTATCAACTAGATGTGAATAATGCATTTCTGCATGGTGATTTACATGAGGAAGTCTACATGGTACCTCCACAAGGTCTTACGACAAGATGTAATAACATGGTGTGCAGATTAAAGAAATCTTTGTATGGGCTAATGCAGGCAAGTAGGCAATGGTATGAGAAGCTAGCAGACAGTCTGTGTTCAAGGGGGTATCAGCATTCAGACAGTGACTATTCCCTGTTCTACAAGAAGAAAGGGAGTTCCTTGGTATTTGTTGCTATATACGTGGATGATATAATTATGACTAGAAACAATGTTAATGAAATCAACTCTTTAAAGAGCTTCCTGCATGACCAATTCAAAATAAAGGATTTTGGAAAATTACACTACTTCTAAGGCCTAGAAATATTGTATAGACATGATGGTGTTATTGTTTCTCAGAGGAAGTTCACCTCTGATCTTCTGAAAGATTTTGATATGTTGAGTTGCAAAACTACTTCATCACCACTTGATTCAACTGAAAAATTGAAGGCCACTGATGGTGAGTTGTTAAATGATCCTTCTCAATATAGGAAGTTGATTGGCAAACTCAACTTCCTAACTAACACTAGAATGGACATATCCTATAGTGTACAACAATTAAGTCAGTTCATGCAATCACCTAGGGAACCACATTTGAAAGCAGCCTATCATGTGCTAAGATACTTGAAACAAGATCCAACTATGAGCATTTTTATTTCAAACAAGGTTGATCTTACTGTGAGTGCATACTGTGATTCTGATTGGGCTGCTTGCCTTGAATCAAGGAGATCTGTTAGTGGTTACCTAGTTCTTATGGGAGATAGTCCTATCAGCTGGAAATCCAAGAAGCAGGCAACAGTATCATTGTCATCTGCTGAAGCTGAATACAGGGCAATAAGACAGGTTGTGGGAGAGCTGGTATGGTTAGAGAGGTTGCTGAATGAGTTGGATGTGCAGTGTTCTCTACCAATACATGTTTATTGTGATAGCCAAGCAGCAGTTCACATTGCCAAGAATCCAGTTTTTCATGAAAGAACAAAATATATTGAGATTGATTGCCATTTTGTAAGGACTAAGCTTCATCAAGGGTTAATCACACTTCATCACATATCCACAGATTCACAGTTGGCAGACATCCTCACCAAAGCTTTAACTGGAGTTAAACACAATTCTTTATTGCACAAGTTGTCTGTGTTTGCATCACCTCCAACTTGAGGGGGGTGATGAGAATATAGCATCAATAACATTAGCTTTCTGTTAGTTCTATTAGTAAGAAATCAAGTAGTTAGTTGATAGTTAGTTACAAGTTTCAAGTTGTTAGTTTCCAATAGTTAGTTAGAAGTTAGTTGGGTTGTTAATCAAGGTCTATATATAGGTTCACATTGTATTCATTTTTAACTAATTTCACAATCAATACAATATACATTTTTCTCCTCATAATCTGCTCTCAAGTTCAAGCTCTCAAGCTCAAGTTGAAGATCATCAATGGTGATGAATCCATGGTGATAATCTCTTCAATCTCCGGTACCTTTTCCACATCCTTGGACTTTCCTTTTTTCTTTCGTTTCATTATCCAAATTGAAACCAACAAGAATATTAGAAAGGATGAAATAATCATCGGAGTAACAATTTTTAGCACAACCTCCTTAAGCTTTGATTGTTTTCCCGGTAGTGATAGCACAAGCAGGAATCTCCAATATGTGCATTCCACATAGACCTTTGTTTCCGAGAAATGATTGAAGAGTGGAATTTGAAAACACACCACCACTGGGTATTACACCTTCTAAACCATTAAATGAAACATTAATGCTCCTAAGGGATGAAAGTTTTTCCAAAGATATAGGAATAGTACCTGACAATGCATTTAAAGACAAATTCAAGAATTCCAAGCTTATAAAGTTGGCAAAGGATAATGGAATTGAGCCTGAAAATGAATTGTTCGACAAGTCAAGAGACTTCAAGTTTTGGAGATCCCCTAATTGGCTTGGTATCATGCCTGAAAAGTGGTTATTGGAAAGATGAAGTTCTACAATGGCTTTCAGTCCTCCAATATCTGATGGAACTTGTCCCTCGATTGAATTCTCTGACACGTCTAGATAGAGAAGACCACTCATATTGCAAAGTCTCAACGGAAATGTTGATGATAATTTATTAGAACCTAAATAAAAATGTTGTAGCATGCTAAGATTTCCTAAGTATTCTGGAATTAATCCAGAGAGCTCATTACCATCAAGAAATAATTGAACCAACTTAGATAAATGGCATACCGCCTCTGGAATATGTCCCTCGAATTTATTATTAAATAGAGATAGCCCTTGGAGTTGTTTAATTGAACCAATCTCCGAAGGAATACTCCCACTAAAGTTGTTTTCTTCAAAGGTTGTAAGTCCACTCATGTTGCCTATACTTGTGGGGATGAGACCATTGATGTGCGAATCTCCTATTTCAAAGTTTTCAATAGTAGATGACAGATTCCCAATTGAATTGGGAAGAACGCCATTCAATGAATTGAAACCCACTTGTAAATATTTCAACATTCTACAGTCCGCCAAAGAATTGAAGAATCACAACTCATGTTCTCTTGGTTCATTGGTAAGTTGATTAGAATGTAGGAACAATGATAGCAACTTAAGAAGATTTCCCAAATTAGTAGGAATAGTTCCTGTGAGAAAGTTTTCTACTAGCGACAATATCTCAAGCTTTGAAGCATTTGTTATGAACAATGGAATTTCCCCCTCTAGCTCATTGACTCCCAAGTCAAGTCCTTTAAGATTTGGAAGATGAAGACCTGTAGTGGTTGTAATTCTACCAGAGAGATTATTGAAACTGAAATCAATGATTTCCAAAGAAGATATGTTGAATATAGCCTCTGGAATTTGACCAATAAGATTATCATTAGAGTCGAAGCTCAATTCCCTCAAATTTGATAGCTTCCCTAATTCCGGAGGAATTTGTCCTACTATGCGATTGTTTCCACAATAAAGATATTGGAGAGTGGAAATATTGACCAATCAATATTTCTTGGTATGTTTCCTGTTATGTTGTTGAAAGATATGGACAAAACTTTGAGCTCTGTGAGTTGGCATATGTCTGAAGAAATGCAACCAGAATTTGGGTTGTTAGATATGCTTAATGTTGGGTTTTATTTGCCCTGATTTCTTACCATAAATAGGTTTTCCTTTTAGGAAAAGGTTTTGAATTGACTATTCTTTTTTTGGTAGGAAAAGGTTTAGGACTCTATAAATAGAGGCACGTTCCTTCTAACTTAATTAGCATTCACAATGTAGTTTTAAGGGCTTTGAGAGTTTTGGTTAGAGGGAGAATTTGTGAACCTCTCATGTATTCCGAGTGAATTGGTTGAGGTTGTTTCCCTCTGTATTTTGTACTCTCATGTTTATAGTGGATTGCTCATCTTCTTTGTGGACGTAGGTCGATTGACCGAACCACGTTAAATCTTTGTGTCTTTTGGTATATTTCTCGTTGTTTTCTTACTTGTTGTCTTTCGAGGTTTGCTTTGCTAGCTTCCGCGTTTACACCTGCTTATTTTCGGTCATAACAAGTGGTATCAGAGCCAGATTCAATGACGGAGTTAGGTTCAGTGGTTCGATAATCGAAGATTGAACCAAGTTAGAAAGAGGTGTTCATCTTGACGGGTGTAGTTCTAGCCGCAACCTTTTTGACAGTAATGAAGATTTTGTTGGAGAAATTGTTTCAGAGAGGTTCTCTGTGTTGAGACATAAATTTTGTAAAGGAGATTATGGAGAGGAGAAGCAAGTTGTTGAAGATAAAGTAAAGAAGGTGGACAAATTTATTTTGTCAGAAATTCAGGCCAAGGGGGAGATTTGTTGGGTTTTATTTGCCCTGATTTCTTACCATAAATAGGTTTTCCTTTTAGGAAAAGGTTTTGAATTGACTATTCTTTTTTTGGTAGGAAAAGGTTTAGGACTCTATAAATAGAGGCATGTTCCTTCTAACTTAATTAGCATTCACAATGTAGTTTTAAGGGCTTTGAGAGTTTTGGTTAGAGGGAGAATTTGTGAACCTCTCATGTATTCCGAGTGAATTGGTTGAGGTTGTTTCCCTCTGTATTTTGTACTCTCATGTTTATAGTGGATTGCTCATCTCCTTTGTGGACGTAGGTCGATTGACCGAACCACGTTAAATCTTTGTGTCTTTTGGTATATTTCTCGTTGTTTTCTTACTTGTGGTCTTTCGAGGTTTGCTTTGCTAGCTTCCGCGTTTACACCTGCTTATTTACGGTCCTAACACTTAAAGACTTCAGATTTGAGACAACAATTCCTTCATCCAGCAAGAGAGGACCAATGAGGCTATTGATTCCTAGCGCTGCCTTAAGTAGCGATGAGATATTAAACAGTGTTGCAGGAATGAGACCTGTTAATTCGTTGTCGTCCAAGAACAACTCTGTAAGTTGGGTAATATTACCAATCTCCATTGGAATGCTACCATTGATTCTATTCCCAGACAAATCTAAGTTCATCAATTTTGTGGTATTTCCAACATAAGGAGGGATTATACCCGTGAGACTATTATTCCGTAGATTTAAGTCTCTATGTTTGGGTACATACCATGAACCTTTCCACATTTCACCGTTGAGTTTATTGAAAGCCAATGAAATCTTTCGAACTGTCTGGTGCTGAAATAGGCTTGTTGGAATACTTCCTTGGAGCTGATTATTTTGAATATCAACGACTCTCAAGCGAGGCAAGTGGCCAATTCCATAAGGAATTTCACCGCAGAAGAAGTTGTTCCCAAGATTTAGCTCTCTGAGAAAGGACAAATTGACCAAAGACGGGGAAATTGTGCCTTGAAGTTGCAAACTAGGAAGAGCCAAGGCCACAACCCTTTGCCTTTTTGAATTGCAAGTGACACCAAACCAAGAGCAAAAACAAGTATTTATGGTCCAATTATTGACCAATAAATGACTGGGACTTGTAACAAGATTTTGAAAAGCTAATAGAGCTTGTTGGTCTGTCTTATTTGAGGAAGCAAGTGATATACAAAATTTAATTATAAAGAGAAAAATCAGTAAGAAAATGTTCTTCTTCATGCTAGCTGTTAATTACTTGGAAACCTTTGATTGTGTTTTTCAAATGTATTATTATTCACTTATATAGTTGGTTTGCCCAAGTCTTCACGGCATCATCAAGAAAAACAGTAGTGAACATATTATAGTCAAGAAAATTTTCTATATGTAATATATGTAACTTAAGGGACAAGCTAAGGGATCACTATAACAAAAATAACTTTTAGCGACATTAAAAATTGACATTAATAAATAATACTAAATTTATCGGCATTAGTTAAGTGTTGTTAGAACCAATGTCTCTAAAGGCTTTACGGACATATACAAAGAGTGTTAATTGCCGCTAAAAATATATATTTAGCGGTAATTAAGAATTAATCCCACTAATGATTATTTTTGATGCAGTGACTACAGTATATATATATATATATATATATATATATATAAACCACTAAACTGTTTTTGTTTGGTAAGTTTAATTAATACATAAATTACAAATTAGAACCCATCAACTCATATTAAAACTTCATGGAAGATGAATATGACATTCAACTTACGTGAACATAGATGACCAACTAGGTTCAATTGAACCCCCTATGTCTCCGCTCCTTATAAGAACATCTGATAGTTTATATATGAAATTCATAAAATAATAGATAACATTACAAAATTACTCCTCTATTCCATTTTATGTGAGCTAGTTTGACTCAACACGGAGTTAAAAGAAAGAAAAAAGACTTTAAAAGCTTGTGGTTCAAAATGAATGTTAGAAATTTGTGTGACTGTAAATCATTTCATTAAGAGTAAAATAGATATTCTACAGTCAAATTGTTACTTTATATAAAAATATATCTTTTTATTTTGAACAGTAAGACACATAAATTGGGAATGAAGAAATAATATTTTTTTTCAATATAAACAAAATGATTTTTTAAAAACACACACTAATAAAGTCAAATGGTTGTGATTTCCACAAACTTTTGTTGAAATGTCATCCCATTGACAAAATCACTAAGAATAAACGGAAGTGCTAAATGATCAAAAAATTTAGCCAGAAAATTTTAATAATTATAATATTTTTTATTTTTAAATAAGCTAATCTTTTTTTCCACTTTTTAGTCACAAGGAAAAAATATTTTAAAAGGTGAAATAACATTAAAAAATCATTCTAACCAAGTTTTCTGACCAAAAAGATTTTAAAGGTCAATTGCATAAAACCAAAGAAAAAGGAAGTCAGTCAACTCTCATTGAGTCTCAGTATCCATTTGTGTATACTCTTAACTTAAATATTAACCGACAAATAAACCGAATCGAAAAATGTTATTGGGTTATTGTTATTGGATTTTCAATGGGTTTATAAAAAAAATTGGATTATTGGTTCGGTATCGATAGATTTAACCAATAATCCAATAAGACGGTAATAATTTATTATTTTACCTTTTCTAATTATTAAATATTAATAATATAACATAGACACTATACTTGTATCAAATTAGTAATACTTTACTAACTTCACACTAGGTCGCTTTATTAGTTTCTACTATTAATCAAAACCTAAAGATTAAAGTAAGGGGTTCACGATTGTAGCTATTTGATTTTACTTTTAGTTTTTGTTTAGTCTTGTTGGACTATTTTATTTTAGTTTTAGTTTGTAATTGTAGGTTGTAACATTTGCAAGTTTGATAAGGTCCGTAATTTGATTAACATAAAAAATTCCATACCATATTTTGGTGGTAACATGTAATTATAGCCTTCACACTATTTTCTCTTATTGATGAGATTTCTCATTATCTTTCTTGTTTCACTATATCAAAGCATTTAGAAAAGTGAGAAGACATATAATATTTTACAAATATTTTCTTATTGGGTAAACCGAAAATCGAACTGATAATGATGAAAAACTGATAAACCAAAAATGGATAGAGAATATCTTATTGGTTTTTTATTGGGTTAACATATTTAAAAACTGAAAACCAATAAATGGAACCGATAATACATAAAATTAAATTGTACCGAACCAACCGATGCACACCCCTACCCACAAATCAACAGACTTATTCAGGCCCGGCTAAGAAAAACTCTTTTTTTAAATGAATTCCAAAAATCTTAGTTCAACCCTATTAAATCCTGGATTAGGCAAGACCGGCCCAATGAGCTTAGCCCATATTGACGGCTCTAGGAGGAGGTGGGTGATGATAAATACCTGAAATGTATTCGTCTTCCTCTTGGAAGAAAGGAATAAAACATAGATATTATGTATGTGAAAAGATTTTAACATTTATATATATTAACAAGTTTTCGAGCATGTACTTCGCACGTGTGTTTTCTGTGAATTTTTATAGAGAAGTTGAATGACTAAAATTTCGTATATATATATATATATATATATATATATATATATATATAAAGACTTACGACAATAAAAAATTCATAGAAAACAAAATTAAGAAGTCTAATAGAGAAAAAAAAAGACAAAAAGAAACAGAGTTGAGAAAAAATACAATGTGGACATTATCCTCATAAGACTGATGTATATATAGATGAAAAAATAAGTACAAATTAGTATATAACTCTCTGAGTTCTTTTCGACTCTTTCCATATCCTATCAAAATTCTAGAGTCTTCTTCATCTACTTTAACTATAGAATAGAAATAATAGTCTAATAATCTTGGTAGAGTTTCATGAGAAGTTGAATTTATATAGATAGAATAGAAAGAATATCAAAAGATATCTTAAAGTTTTAGTTTAAATATTTGGAGGTTATGAATATGAAAAAATGAGAGTTATGGATATTAAAAGTATAAAAGTTGAATAAGTAATTAGAAAATAATAATAAATAAATGAAGAATAGGAAAAAGAAAATTAAACTGAAGCAAACCATGTAGAAAGAACAATTAAAGTTCTTATCACGTGATTAAGCATCAATAAATATAAATTTGTGAAGCTAGAGCACTCTTTAATAGTAACCAAGAGGACATTATCAATGTGTGTGTCTCCATTTTGCGGATTCGCATCCTTTAAATTATTAAATTTCATTATTTATCATAAAGGATAATACTTTATCCACATAAATTATATTATTTATGAGAGGGGTTAAGGAAAAATTTATGAGAAGAGGAAAAGTATAACAATTTAGGTAGATAACTTTTTTTTTTAATAATTCTTATATGCATATAGATTATATATACTAAATATTAATAAATTCGATACTTAATTAAGAATTAATTTTAGTAAGTCTAAAAGTCATTAACATTTTAATTAAACATATACAATTAAATATTTAAATATTTTATAACATTTAATTTATAGAAGGGTAAAATCGTAAATCAACGTTCAACATTTTTTTGTTCATGCTTATAGTAATATACTAGTTTCTGAGTACGTGCTTCACACGTGTGTTTCATGTGAATTTTTATAGATACCTTAGAATGACTAAAATCGCATGAAAATATATATATGTAAATTGGAATGAATAATAAAATGTAACAATTACAAAATAAGAATAAAGACTTACGGCAATAAAACATTCATAGAAAACTAAATTAAGAAGTCTAACAGAGAGGAAAAAGACAAAAAGAAACAGAATATTTAAGAAAAAATTACAATATAGACACTATTCTTATAAGATTGATGTATATCTAGGTGAAAAAATAAGTACAAAATTAGTACATAACTCTCTGAGTTGTTATCGACTCCTTTCATATCCTATCAAAATTCAAGAGTCTTCATCATCTACTTTTACTATAGAATAAATATAATTGCCTAATAATCTTGGTAGGGGCTTCATGAGATAAAGAAGTTGAATTTATATAAATAGAATAGAAGGAATATCAAAAGATGTCTTAAAGTTTTAGTTTAAATATTTTGAGGTTATGAATATGAAAAAATTGAAAGTTATGAATATTACGAGTAGAAAAGTTAAATAAGTAATTAGAAATAATAATAAATAAATGAAGAATATGGAAAAAAAAATAAAGTTAGCAAACCATGTCGAAAGAACAACTTAAGTTCTTATCATGTAATTAAGCATTAATGAATTTAAATTTGTCAAGCTAGAGTCGTTCCTTAATGATAATCAAGAGGACATTATCAATGTGCGTCTGCATTTTGTAGATTTGCATTCTTTAAATTATTAAATTTCGTTATTTATCATAAAGGATTTTACTTTATCCACATCAAGCATATTATTTATGAGAGGGGTTAAGGAAATAGTAATAAGAAGAAAAAAAAGTAAAGAAATTTAGGTAAAGATTTTTTTAAAAAAAAATATAATTATTATATACACATAGATTATAGATGATAAATATTAATAGATTAGATATTTAATTAGGAATTAATCTTCGGAAGTCTAAAAGTCATTAACATTTAATTAAATTTATACCATCAAATATTTAAATATTTTATAACAATTTAATTTATATAAGGAGTAAAACCGTAATTCAACTTTTAATTTTTTTGTTCATGCTTTTAGTAATATATGATGATTAATAGTGGAAACTCAAAGGAGCAATTTAGACAAAAAAAGAAAAGAAAATGTGGCTTACATAAAGTGATTAGAAATTAGGAAGTCCTAATTGGAATATGATTTATCATTTAATAGGAGGTAACTTCTTAATGGTGGAGGACCTTCAATTAGAGGCTCTCATGATGATTTCTTTCTTTAAAAAAATAAATAAATGATTTCATTATAAATGTGATGTCATGGGTACATAGTAGAAAAGATACAATTTATTATAAGATATTTTCACTTTTTTAACAAAAAAAAATAATTTTTTTTAGTATTTTCTAATTAATATTTACTATTTTAATTAATTAGATTTTTTAAATTATATTTTGATTTAGTATAGAGATAAAATGGTAATCCAAGTTACACTTTGAAGTTTTACTTTTAATAATATACTAGTTCCTAACACATAGACATGTTCGTGTTTCTCAAGCTAATCGATATTTTATTTTAAAATAACATAAATAAGTAATAATGGGTTCGAAAATCCATAACCCCCAGCCCCACCCCTTATATTTCT